AATCATTACATAATGATTTGATTTTTAAATTAGCTTGTTTAGAAATATTTGTCATAGATTGACCAATGCCGTAAACAGGTAATGAAATATTGGATGGGTTTATACCCAGTTTAGTTATCAAATTGCTTGAAATAAAATTGGACTGAGACCCACTATCTAATAAGGCTCTGCACTGAATAAGTTCATTTTTGAAGTTATAAATGCCAATAGTGGCTGTTGGGAGTAAAACTGACATATTTGGTAAATGTGATTGTACCTTATGATTAAGATTGTTTGCTTGACTATCGTCATATATTTGTGGAACTGAAGTATGATAGTTATTTAATTGTGGGTCAGTACTTGTATTATTTGGTTGTGTATCTGGTTGAGTGATTGTTGAATTATTTGTATTACTTTGCGTGGCATCAGTTGTGCTATTATTTGGATTTCTATGTAATAATGTATTGTGTGGTTTTAAACAAAGTTTACAAGTAAACTTTGATTTGCATTGGCGCTGAGCATGACCTGTACGCAAGCAGTTTGTACACAGTTGCTTATTTTTTACCTCAGAATATCGGTCAACAGGTGACAGGTCCAAGAATTTTTTACACGATAATATATAGTGTGTTCCTTGACATATAACGCATACATTATTATTATTATTGACTGAGACATGGGAAAATGCTTTTTTAGGTTCATGAGGTCTGTTTAAACCATTATTTTTCATTAAAGGTGCATCTGCCTTAACAGCAGGCTTAGAATTTGCGTTTTCTAAAACCCTGTATCTAGATCGTATAAATTTTTCAAATGTATCTAAGTTAGGTAGTGCTTGGTTATCATCCCGATCTCTATTACCTTGTATACTTGCTTCCCACGCTAGTTTAGTCGAGTGGTCTAATTTTGATTCAAATAAATAAAGTATCATATGTTCGTCAATGGTTCCTAACAAATCCTTTAACGAACTGACCTCTGTTAAGATTACGGCTAAAAATGTTTTTAAAGATTGTGCTGATGGCTTAACTAAGGCAGGAACTTCAAACAAAAGTTTAAAATGTTCGTTTACCAAGCTACGTTTGTCTTCGTAATGTTCCCTTAAAATGTTCCATGCTTTTTCATAATTTGCATCTACTGGTTTTAAGGGTTTCAACAAATTAGCGGCTTCACCGTGACAGGTTGATTTTAAATAATTTAATTTTTGTGATTTTGGCAATGATAAATTACTGTCAACCATTGACATAAACGAGTCTCGAAATTCCATGTAGTTTGAAAAAGAACCGTCAAATTCCGGCAATTTAATTTCCGGTAATTTTATTGAATTATTTAAATTTAAATTATTTATTGGTAGTACTTCGTTTGAAATATTACTTCGAGTTGATTCCGTTTCTTTCTCTGCTTCATCAATAACAGTTTGAGCTTTAGCGGTGGACTCGAAATAATTATTTTCAAATAGTTCCCGCTCCCTTGTTTGAATATCATCAGTTTTTATTAATTCAATTTCCATCTGGCAACGCTGGAAGTCGTCCCAAAGCGCTTCGACTTTCTGTAACCGTTTTTTAAGCTGACTAATATCGACGCCATTAAAACTGCTGAGATACGTGGAAAATTTCGTTAACTGACCTTTATAAATTCCTCTTTGTTGAGTATGATTTTTTAATTGTAAATCACTGGGATTAACTTCGTCGTTTTCAGGCATAATTGTGCTGATATAATATGTATATTTGTATGAAATAAAATGTTATACACAAAAATACTTAAAATAAATATTAATTGTAGGTTCACAAGTAAAGTAAGATAGGTAGATAACTAGTGTATTTATTTTACACAACTAGGCAATGCAATCTGGAATTCGCTTCCTTTTCAACTATTTATATAAATATTTATAATAAAAATTGCTTGTCTTAATATGTAGAGTAGTGCAGATTATTCTAATAACAATTAGGTATTGTAGTTTTGTTGCAAAGGTATAATAGTTGCAAAAATGTGCAATCTATCGAGAATAGTTTGATATATTTAACACAAAAGTGATTTTATTGTACTTAATAGATGCAAAAATGTGCAATCTCGAAAATAGCTTATTATTAAATTTGATATAACACAAGTATTAGCCTATTTTAAAGGGATATATAGGATATTGGTAGATATCAAAATAATAATGATATAGGAAAAATAAGGCACTGACCTTTTTGTTACTTTGATGCTAGTAACTAACTTTTTTAACTTGTAGACTCCTGTCGCTGATCGCTGTGTGTATGATGTAATACCGATACCGATGCGATATCCGGCCGAAGGATCAATGTCGGCGTGCTGCCTTTTTGCAAACCTCTCTTTCTTTCGAGAATGGATCTGCCGTTCTTTTTTGCTGACCAGCTCAGCTAGTAATACACTCACTACTTTACATATGCACTTTATTATTATTTCAATTATCTGACAAATTTAGGTACAATATAACTTAGTGAGAACAAAACAAGAAGTGTCTTTTATGCATGGGACGCCATGAATGACCTCATCATCTTTTTACCCGTCTCTCTCTAGTATCGACCGGTTGATCGATATGCTTAAAAGCGCCGTTGCCGATACTTCTCATTTTTCCGAGTTGAGTTTTACGGAACAGATACAAATTCAGGATACGCAGAAGACTGCTGTTTTATTATAGGCGGTTATCACATATTGTATTATCCGAGTTGCACAATGTATAAACTGAAACATTGAGATCAAAAGTGCCGACGCAGAGTGAGCGATCTGATTCTTTAGCTATAAACTGTGTCACAGGGTTCAAAATGGCCGCGCCCTATGTTGGGCGTATCGGACCTCTCTCTTGCCTCGTATAATAATCAAAGTATGTGATTTATGATCAATAACTTTTGTGCATCTTATTTTCCCGCTGAACGTTGATTACGGTTGGAAAGGGGATAAAAAACAGAAAAAAAAAACAAGATAAAAGAACTAACAACTACGAGACAACGACGAACGCCAGACAGACAACCTTTATTTTAATATTATTATATTTTTCGACGACTGAATAAATTTTAATTATTTAAACATTTTTATTTAGTAGCAATAAGACCAGCGCTATAATTTTTTTTGTGAGATTTAAATTATGTAGTCCATCGATTCAGTCCATAACTTAACGTGAAGTGCTCGATCTGACTCACATCAGGCCTCTCCTCTTTAGTCCTCTTTTGTCTAATGTGAAGATTAAGAGTGAAATGAGCTGACTAAATCTTGTCTTTAGATCAGAACTGTGCGTATTGGCCTTCAGGTCATATCGGAGAGTGTAGGGCCTCCATTATATCGAGACTGTTATGGGATTGTATAGAATAACTGATAATAATGGTGGCAGACAAAAATAAAGGAAATCTAGTTTGGGTACTGAGGATAATGACGAACTTGCAGAAAGAGGGTCCAAAAAGGAAATATTTTTAAAATTTGATGAAAAAAAAAAAAAAAACTGAGGAATATGTCCAAAAACAGGTATAAGGAAAGACTTTCATCCGAATAACATGTTCAAAAGAAAAAGGAGAACTATTTTCTATAAATAAAAACTGGTTGAAAATAAGAACACCTAAACAAAATAGGTGAATAAAATGCAAACCTATTGTGTCGACTATGTCACAAGGAACCAGCTAGAAGCAGCCAAACATACACTATACGACTGTGAAACATTGGATCCCAAAAAGCAAGTACCTTTAGGACAATCACAAGCTCAAGCTGTTCCAATTGCCTATAGAACCCACTTGATCAAAAACAAAGTTTATGGATTAAAACAAAATAATTTGAGGCAAGGGTAGCCATATGTGAGTAACAAGTATAGAGTAAGGACAGTCAAACAAAAGTCCTTTTTATCTAAGGTTCTCAGTCAATATATTATAAATAAAAATAGGATATATTAACACTTGACCTGCACTTGACATAAACAAAAACTAAGGACGAAAAAGTATTGAAAATGATTTAATAATTTGACTGACATTTTCATTAAGAATGATTAACATAACATTTACATTTACAACATTATAAGAGGTTACTAACGCCCGTATGCACCGTACACGTTTAATCCAGATCAACGGTTTAATCGAGTTTAGTACCATATTCACCTATGGTACTAAACGCGATTAAACACTTGATCTGGATTAAACGTGTACGGTGCATACGGGCGTTAATGGTTTGAAAAACGATTTATAAATAGCGCAAAAGTAAGATGTGCTTCTTTATGTTGAGAAAACTAACAGCAACAATAGTCAATCAAAATAAGTTGATTTATATATTATAACCGATTAGTGTAGGATATCCACTTTATCCCTATTTATAACAAACTACTTATTTATGGAGATAGAAATTCTGAATGAGACTATAAAGGAGTCTTTGAAAAAGTTCGCTATATGATAAGAAAATGTACCTTTATAGGTAAGGTATAAGTACTTACGGTTGTGAGAATTAACTGTGTAATTATTATTCTGATTGAATTTATTTTGTTTTCTATCAAGAAAACTAATCGATTAAGTTATAATTATAATTATGGCCATTAGCAATTTGAATAATTTTATCAAGTTCTTTGTTAAAATTACCTAACGATAATGGGACTTTTAATAGACGTTTCAAGTAACAATTGAAAGCAATTTACTTATGTAAGACTGGATGATTAGGTAAGTTATCTATGGCACCTGTATGAGTAAATTTCCTTAAAATATTGTAATGCGAGTCATTTTCGACCAGTTCGGACAGGCTTTAATCCCTTAAGCTCATCTCTGCCTTGTTTGGGCCTTTAAGACCTCACTTGTCCGATGACCACAAATAGTTAAAGAAATAAGTTATTCTCCGAAACCCAACTTAATATTTTAACTGTAGGAATATTGTCAGGGTAATACAATTATACACCGTTTCAACTAATAACATTTTATATTTTATACTTTTAAGAAATAGGTAACAATTAATATATCACTAATCACTAATCATACATGAACTTATATACTCATATCATGCGTAATACATTCTTCTGATAAATATGATGAATCTATCCGTGATGCATAGCCATAGTCGTGCCCCACGGTCATCCTGACATGTTGTTTGTCATCAACAACCATACTGCAGAACTTTGACCTGTAATTACATAAAATAATTAAAATGTTATTGCTATTGGAGAAGACGCACTCAGTGCGCTCAAGTTGGCAATCAAGTATTCCTCGTTGCCACCAATTAGTATTGCCATCCAATGCCATTTATAGCTTATTTGGTGCCACCGAGGGTCTTTATTGCCAACATAGTGCCTTCAAAGGGCTCATTATTACCGTCAAAGGACTTATTATTGCCATCAGAGGGCTCAATAATGCCATCAAAGGGTTTATTAGTGTCATCAAAGGGTTCAATAGTGCCATCAAAGAGCTCATGGTTGCCATCAAAGGGCTTATTATTGTCATAAAATGGCTCATTATTTTACCTTAAGATTTCTGAAACGTAAATGATATTATGTGTTCCAATCCCGCAACTCCTTCATATGGACGTTTAGATCTTCCAGTATGTAAGTCTTCCTTAATCCTATATCTATCACTTGAAAGAACCTCTATTATTTTAAATGGACCCCTAAACTTAGACAGTAACTTTTTACTTTCTCCCGTTGCAGGTTTGCTAATGACTTTTGTGTACCAAATCTCCTTCTTTATACATATTCGGTTGGCTTCTTTTCTTATTAAATGTAATATCTTGTTTGATCCTATTTTGTTCTAGTCGCTTTGCTGCCCTTTTCCTAATGGTTGTAACGTCTACATTATCTTCGCTCTTAGAGTCGTGGATGTCATTATTCGTCTTTAGAGGAAATCCAAATAACTGTTCGGCCGGGGTGTAGTTTGTGACGCGCTGTTTTGTACTGTTAATGCCTTGTTGAATAATGATTACTTTTGAGTCCCAGTTATTTACTGTTCGTATCTGCTGTAGTAGCCAATACATCAGCTATTATTCTTTTAGGGTTTACAAAAATCGTAAATATTTCAACAAGTACTTCTAAAACCCATATAAAATTACTAATAAATATCTATTTCCATTTAGAGTTTCTACAAAGGGCCCTAAATGATCAAAGTGAATAGTATGGTGTGGCCCTATATACTTCGGTAGGGAATGTAGATGTCCTTTTTTACCGCTGTTTTCCTTATAATACAAACAGTTTAAACATGCACTAATATATATTTTTACAAATTTACACATTTTTGGGAACCAATAATGTTTTTTTATTCTGTCTAATGTTTTTTCGAGTACAACGTGCCCTACATGTATCATGATTTGCTTTAACTATTTGCCATCTACAGTTTGTAACGGTTGGAACCGTTATTTCGACACAACCACCTCTTACTCAAATGTCATTTGTCGTCTTCTTCTTATTCTTCTTCTTCCTTTATTCGTCTTGTGAGATTTATTTTTGACTTGGACTTGGATAGCGTATCAACTTAATATTATTTTTAATATATCTTGGTCATCCGAAGTATTAGATGATTTTTATCTATCTTGAATTCCGTCTGATTTTATAAGGTAAGTTTTATTAATGATATATTGTTGAAAATATATATTTTGTACAAGAATTTCCTAAATAAACTGTCAAGTTTTGAACATAACCTCAATATCAACAATAAGCAACTTATGGTTAATATATATTACAATGATTTATAATTCTTGTAAAATTTAATGAAAATGAAAATATAATGAAAATAGGTGTGAGCATAAAAAAATTTACAACAAAAAAATATAATACTTATCTTTTATATTTATTTAATTAATTTTGTCCAGCATGAGATCTCTCTTTTTCTCAGGGCGTGTAGGTTGCGATTTCACAGATTGCTCACTCTTTTCAATAAAACAAGGAAATCAGATTTAATAAGATATAATCAATAGAGAAATAATGTAATTTGTAATCAATTAGATGAGATGGAAATGAATGAAAAATGGCCTAAATTAAATGATAGATACAATGAAAATATTCAAAAACCTTTGAAACGCTAATCATACTATCCTAGTAATAGATGTTGCCTATTCAAATATCCTCAGTAGAACAGGTATCGCGGTTGGTAACACCAATAAGTTACCAGATTCAGAACTTGTCTGTCATCAAATGAGGTTAGGAATTTTTATAAATAACTAAAAGAAATGTGCTTGGTTAGGCAGGAAAAAGTTTCTATGTGTTTTAAATCACTTCAAATAAAATTGACTATGAAGCAAGTAAGTGGAAATTTATCAATAGTGTTTACAACTAATCTTACTTCATAAAAGAACACCTCACTGATAATTCTTTTTCAGGAATATGTCACTTCGCTTCGCTATTTCTTTCCCATCATCGATTGGCTTTGAGAGAAAACAGGGCTCTCCTGT